TTTTTTTCAGATATGTTGGCTGATTTTTTGGAAAAAAATGATATTAAAACATATAATCGTAAGTTTCAGTTAACTAATTGTAATACATTGTGGGTGAGGGTAAGTGTGCGCGACTACACCATTCGAATACAATCTTCGAGAGAGTCGCGGCTTGTGTGAAATTATAGAGTAGACTTTTGCGTATCGAATGCACTGGTTGAAACGAGAAATTCTTTACATCTTCGGCAAGCTAGTTTTTCAAAGAATTGAGTAAAATCTTTCTAATGATGAAATGGAATTTCTACAAAATATTTGTTTGTCATGTTGCTTATGAATTAATCTGAAAATGTTTAGAATCGATAACATCTGATCAAATAAATACATTAAAAACGAGTTTAAAACAAGAAATTGATGATAAACAAAATCAGATACATCAATTCTATACAAATAAAATTCAAGATATAAATAAAATCGATGGTCAAACGAAAAAGCTTATTGGACAATGTGAAGAGCTAGAATCCGAACGAAAAGAATTACTTGGAAAAATTGAAGAGCATTCTAAACTTGAAAACCATGCACGTCATGTGAATTCAAATTATCATCAATTTCATCATTTAAATCAATTTATTGATGGTATTAAACACTTAATACAATTACAAACTCAAATTCAAGGTATAGATTTTCAAAAAAACAATATGAATTCTTTTTCATTCTTTGATTTATTTTAAGAATGTCGACAATTATGTAAGAAAGGTCATTTAAACGAAGCAAAAAATTCATATAAATCTATAGAAAATATTCTCAATAATCAGTATTTATTTCCTAATACAAATGAAAAATTTTATCAACAACATTATCCATTATATGAAACATTTCAAAAATCTATTGGACGATTACGTTCAGATATTTGTCAAACACATCATATTCTATGGAATGATGGAGTTAATAAAACAACTCAAAATGAATTACAATTAAATTTAAATTATCTTGATCAACTTTTTAAATGTATTTTCTATGAAGATAGAGGAGAAAAATTATTAATGGAAAAAAATATTCAAACATTTGCAACTTATTGTTTTCAAGGATTTATCCAAATATTTATTGAAAAAAAATTGAAATTAGTTATTGATATAGAAACACCAGTGATTTTATTACAAATGGAAAATGATGAAGATATTGAAAATAATAATAATATTGAACAATTCAATATAACATTAAATTATTTGAAGGAATTTTTTGAAATATTAAATACGTATTTATTATCAAGAACAATGAATATTCAAACAACGAAAGAGAAGTAAGAAATCTTTGCAATTTTTTCGATCTACGAGGGAACTACCCGAGGTGTTATCTTCCGTTTAAGCTCATAGTGTAGATAGAAACCCTAAAACCAGTGATTTTTCTAAAGGGAGGGCAAAGGTGGCGGCGCCCTCCCAGAGACCGATTTGCCCTCCCGAAAATTGCAATCTTTGTGCTTATACTGTGCATTTTCCTTCCAGAAATTAGATTTTCACTCTCCCGAAAATCACTATCGCACTCTTGAAAGGAAAAACCTAGATAAAACACTGCCTAAAACACTAGTCTTTAAAAGTGGTATTAGGTTATCGTATCTTCGGATAGGAAACTTGAAAATGAGTTTTTCTGATGTCCCTGAGGAGAATCACGGCAGTCAGTTATTATCAAGATTTGGGGACGAACCCTTTTAAGGTTTCTATCTACACGATGAGCTCAAACGGAAGATGATACCTCGGATGGTTCCCTCATTAGTTGACTGAAATCTTCTAAATTCAATATTTTGTCTTGTATATTTTAGGTCTATTGAATCAGTTTCATTAATGAGTATTTTTTCTTCAACTATTGCTAATGATTTTATTGAACTTATCCGTGAACATCTATTAAATATTATTCCAAGTGATTTTGAATACATCGAAATATTTCGTTTATTATTGGAAACAGTAGTAAATTTAGAAAAATATTTAATTGAAATAAAATTCTTTTCTTCCACTCAAATAACTAATGTACTTTCATCTGTTATTGGAAATATTGATGAATCAATAATAAAAAGTCGTTGTCGAACATATTTAATTCAAAGTCGAGAATTACTTCAATCAAATGCAATTATTACAACATCATTAAAAACAATTGAAATTGGTGATAATGAACAATTATTTATACAAAATGAACAAGATAAAGAAAAATATAAAAATCAATCCGCATCAAATATTTTATCATCAACTATTAGTCTCGATGAATTAGATGCAAATATGTTTCGATTTCCACGTACAATTATTGTGTAAGAAATATATAAATCTAAAGAAATGAATTTATTCTTGTTTCTTTTAAGGGAACATGCTTATGAATATATGCAATTTGTTCGAAAAATATTAGAAGAAGCAGATCAACTGGAAAAATATGGCGCACATCTTTGTGCAACAGCAAGAAATATGATGGAATTATTTCATATTATATATGCAAATTTACATGAGAAAAAAGCACAAGAATTTCCTTACTTGACTGGTAAAGATTAATTCAATCCTGATATTCATCTAGTAAAATAAATATTTATTTCGATTTTAGCTTTACATTTTAATACTTATATGTATGTTGCGCATGAATCTCTTATTCTCGGTGAAGAATATTATCATTTAAAATCTAAAACAGCTGATGGTCAACCAATAACATTCGTTGATTATGTCGCTATATTTCGTAATCAAGCAGCAAATTTACTTAAATCTCAATTAGATACTCAAAAAGATACATTAACATCTTTTATTCGAGAAATTGGAAGTATGAAATAATGATTTTTTCTTCTCCTTCTAATAATTTTTTATCTAACATAGCATTTCATAATATTGTTGATGAAACTGAAAATCAAGATCTGTTAAAACGAGCAATAAATAAATGTATAATGCAAATGGAAAATCTTTCTCATAATTGGCGTGATGTATTTTCACCTCATGTTTATTTTAAAGTTATTGGTAAGAAATTAAATGCAAAAAAAGGTTTTTTTAATAGTTATTTTTTTTGAAAATAATTTAGGATATTTATGTGATCATATTAGTCAACTTCTTATTAAAGAAACTTTATCACTTGAAGATATCCCACAACAAGAATGTGATGTAATGGTGAAAGCTTTTACACAATGGTCAACATTTTTACAAAACATACTTGTTAAAGATGATCTTAGTCCTGGTTTAAATATTCTTGCACGCTTAGCACCAAATTTAACAAGATTCACTGAATTATGTATTGTTTTAGATAGTCCAATGCAAACAATTGTTGACCGATGGTTTAATGGTCAGGGACCATTGGCTAGTCAATTTGCAGCGATTGAAATTAAACAACTTATTCGTGCTCTTTTTCAAACATCAGAAAAACGAACAGCAGCTCTTGCTAAAATTCAATAAAAATTTTTCGTTCTTATATATATATATGTGTGTGTGCGTTTCTCTTTTGTTTATTTGGGGGGAAGAATGATCTTATTCCTTGTATTTTCATAAAATTATTCTTTTTAAGATAAAATATGGGAACTAATCATGCAAAAACTCGAAGTAAAAAAGGTGTGGTATATACAAAAACAGATAATGAAATAGTTGATTGTTTATTTTGTCGTATTGTACGTGGTGACTCACCACCTAATGCACTATGGTATTCTGATGATAAATGTTCAGTTTTCATTCCAAGAGGTCCAGCTGCACGATTGCATCTATTGGTAGTACCATTAGAACATATTCAAAATATTTCTACACTCACAGAAGAACATAGACCATTACTTGAACATATGAAAAAAGTAAATACAACGATATTATTTATCTAGTCTTTGAACGACTTGTATTTTTGTAGGTAGCGATCGAACAATTACGTGTTCATTCTCAACGTATCGGCTCGACTAAATTTCCACTTTTATTACCTTGTGCGCCGCCGCCATCTCACTATTTATTTAATCGCGGAAATCTCTTATCATTATCTACATCAACGGACACTCCGAAAGATGATGACACATCAATGGATTCGTCATTTGTTTTTTGTTTTCATCGTCCACCCTATAATTCAATAGATCATCTTCATTTACATGCCATTCAAAAACCGTTTCGAAATCTCCGGAATTATATTATGTTTGCACCAAAGTCTCCGTGGCATGGATCATTAGAGCATGTACTTCGTGATTTACCTTCACGAAAATCTAAATTGTGATTTTTATACTTTTATGCTTTATTGAAACAAATACTAATATAAATATAAATAATATTTTTCGTCAGCCATTTCGAACTTGATATAAATACATGGCATAGATATTCTTCTATTCGACTTTTGTTTTCACCAAAATTTTTATCTTGTGCTCTGTTTTATATAAACCTGAAGGGTAAGATTACAAGGGAAAAGTTCTGTATTATACAGTATTTTGATATACTTGTTCAGCTACAAGCACATTAAATGTATCAAATAAATCTTTTTAATTTAATATCATGTCCAATTATGGTTATTAATTTTTATTGCTTATTATGAAAAAAAAGAATTAATTTGATTTTTGACGATTGATAATTTCATGAATCCAATCAATATAAGCTGCTGTTTTAGTAAATACTGTTGGATAAGCTTGTTGACCACATCCAATAGCATAACTAACTACACCAGCAGCATACCAACGACCATTCTTAAAATAGAGTAAACCACCACCACTATCTCCTTGACATGATCTAAATCGGAATTTATATTTCATATAAATGAAGAAAATTTTAAAAATAAAATGACTAACCCATGATCTTTATCAGCAGGACCATTGTGAGCAGTACAAATTTGATTTTGTGGTTGATAAGCAAAATACATTGAACAATCAGAAATAACACGAAGTCGTGCTTGAAGTAGAACTGGACTTGAAGTATCCCACATTTGATGGACAGTATTACCCCAACCAGCAACATATACAGTTGCGTCAAGTGGTGGTTCGGCCATCTATAATAAACAAGAATTGATCGTAGATATAAGACAAAAAGTAAAACAATAAGTTCTCGATACTAACATTATCAACAAGACAAATTGGTTGAACATCTGATGAAAATGTTATTGGCGAAGCTAATCTTATAATTCCAATATCATCTGATGAACGTGATTCATCATAAGTTGGATGTATAATCAATTCAGCAATAGGTATAAGTTGTCCCGACGATAATCGATTATGTGCTCCGACACGAACATAAAAATTTCCAAGATCATTAGAATAATCTAAACAATGTGCAGCTGTTAATATATGCCATTGATCAATAATAACACCACCACAATCATGTACATCTTTATATTGTAATGAAACAGCCCAAGGTAATGAATGTGGTATTGCTTGAAAACCATTAACAATACGAAGTGGAGAGTTTGTATGAGGTTGACGAAATGTTTGACCACATTGTTGTGATATATACTCTTGTTTATTTGGACAACAAAAACGAACACTATAATCTGGACAACGTGATGTTGGTGAACCCATACAAACGACACCATTATTATTAACTAATGTTTGATAAAGTGATGTATCATTATTTGTTTTTCCCAAAACAGAATACTCAACATTTAAAACTGTATCACATCGAGCTGCTTCAGGATATGATTTTCGTATCATTGATATATCTTCAATATCATTACCATTGGTTGTTTTAGGATTTTGTGTATTAAACCATGAAGTCCAAGATGCTACTTCAGGATTACATTGATCATCAACAATCGATGAAAGTTCTTGTCCACCAAAGACTTTCGATGAAAATAATAGTAGACAACTTAAAAAGGAATACAATAGTAACATTAATGTTTTAGTCTATATTTCAAACCAATTCGAATATGAAATACTGTTAAGGCTTAGTAATAATTGTTATATATATCAATGTACTAAGAAATTGATTTATATTTTAAATCATGATAGAATATCGAATTGTTTTTGTCGACGACATTCCATTGAAATCTGATAGTTATAATTACAATTGAAGAATAAAATCCTTGCGATTAAATATAAAAACTATTTTATGAAGGGGCTTGTCGAAATAATAAAATCAGCTAGTTTCCGATTCATTTTTCATACGTTCTAGACAAAAAGTAGAGCATTCGATTATTTTCATTTTGTTTAGTTTATATTATATTCGCATCATCGATTCTCACGAGAAAAACAAAGAAAATTAATTTAATATCTCTAACACATTACAATATAAATTAGATGGCACTCATCTTTATCTCACATCCACTCCACACCCATCCATGGAGAATGAAGAGTTTCATATTATTGAATATTTATTTCATATAAAAAATCTTTAAAAGATAAATAATAGTACTAGTACAATCTTCTTTTGTTTTATTAAATGGTCTTACTAGCATCCAGCTGATGTTTCTGTTAAAATATTAGTTTGAATATTGTTATATATATTTTATATTATACATGAAGACATAACAATACATTAAATCGTGTGATAGCTTCGTAAAATGATATTTATCATGTAGTTTCACGTGCTTACAATACATACACGATTTATTGATATGATATAAAAGAAAAAAAAAACTAATCATACATACATACGTAAATAAAGAATGGTAGGTAGCCTTCGTAATTACTCTATTTATAACATGAATACTTCTCCCCTTCCATATTATTATACGCTCCTGCGAACTTCTAATATGGAAGGGGGTTTATTACATATTGGGTAATGATGTGGAAATAAATAAAATTACACTATGAATATGTTTAAATAGCAAATAATATTTTTCCACGAAGACAGCACTATAAATTTTACATAGAAAATTTTCAATGTCAGACTCAACAACTTTTTATAATTTGACATCGTATTATAATAGATTAGTATTTTTTATGAATTTTATCAAGCTAGATCTCTTTTGAAATATTGATTTTATCTAAAAGTAATTGATTTAAGTTTTCTGAAAACATCAAAACAACAATAAATTTTAAAAAATATTGCCAAAAACCGAATATGACAGATGAGACTGATTAGAAACTCATGATTTGTATATTATATCATTTTCAACTCTAATAAGTGATATTAAAACTAAAAATGAATCACGCGTGGCAACGTTAGAAACCTCACAATATACAGAAAAGTCACTTATTTTAATCGTATTTTTTGGGATGGATGAGTATGTTATTGTGAAATTGATCTGATACTCACTTATGTTGACTCTTCTTCTAATAAGCACTCTGACGATGAAATAAGAATTAAATAACAATATAGGAAAAAATTTTTCGTCAAAAGTTATTATATAACTTCGTAAACGAGTCGAATTTATCATAAAAATATTTGCCATCACATCTACGTTGTTTTGTTTTGATATTTTGAAAATTTAAAGGTGAGCCGATCTATTTTCTTTTACATCTTCGACATTTCTCTAATCTATTGAAGTATTATACCATTAGAAATTCATAAAACAATTTTTGACTAATTTATTCATAATAAATTCATCGACCCAAATAATCGATTGGTCTCACCTTTACTACAAAATATCGAAACAGCCTAAAAATTAAGATTTGATAATTCTAAATCACCATCCTTCATATAAATATAAAAGATCAAAAATCTAATTTTTGTGTAGTGCCTCTGTTTTTCATCACCATCATAGGTAGTTTTTTTCATCGCTATTTCTTCATTGATAATAATATTTATGACAGAATTATTGGATTTCATTCACTATTTTTTTGTTATTTTCTGCCTCTCCTCTTTTCATATCGTATTTGTTCTTTTGTTCGGTCAAGCATGCAAAACTAATCATAGATATAAATAAAAAAACAAGTATGTACAGTATCAAACCGTATTTTTCCCCTGGTATAGATAAAAAAAAAATCTATTTTTTTGATCATAATTTTAGTGAATTGTGTGGCCCTCTAGTCAATAACAACTATTGTATAACCCACTTATGTGCAAGATAGATATCAAAAAATATTTTTTACATTTTCTTTTCTCTACCCTACTCACTAACTATATAAGGAGCATAATATTATTGTCAAATCTCAATCATACATTTATTTTATTTTAGCATTTCTTCGTAACCCAACTGAATCGACAAGCGCAAGATGAGCAACATCCAAACAGTAGCTTTTTATCTTTTAATTGGATCATTCTTAATGATGTGCTGCAGCGCACGTTTGGTAAACAACGAATGGAATGATTTCAATTCTCGTAGTGAACAACAACATGCCTTACGACAATTCCTCAGGGAACTCATTCAGGAACGTACCGCTACTACAACTGTCTGTCAAGGTAATGTTGGTTGTGATGGCTTTTGTGATTCTGGTACGAATTATGATTCAAGTAGCACTTGTGGTTTAGCATGTAATAGTAAGAACGTTATCGGTGCTTTTGATACTGCTACTGGTAAAGTTGGTGCTAGTGGTAGTTGCGCTGCGGATTCTAGCTTTTGCCGTGGTGGTACTTATACATTTGTACGTAATATTTATAGTGATGTTAATTTTGATTGTGGCTTTTCGTCTGCCAGTTGTGGATCTTATGGTGGTTGTTGTGTTGGTTTTAATCAACCTAATACAACTACTAAAAATTTGTATTGCATTAAATGTCAATACTAACACAGTTGGCTTTTGGTCTTATTATATAAAAAGCTCCAAGCATACAATAATCTTTCATCTTGGACAAAACATAATTCTATATGCGTAGATAGTTTTTTTTGCTTTTTGTTTTACTACCTATATCATGCTATTCTTTTCTTTTTTATTCTTTTTTTTTCTAACGTACATTTTATCATATATTTTATCATACATCTATTTAACCGTGTTCATGTAGAAATAACTCATAGTTTTTCAATAAAATTTTCTTATTCTAATCAAATCTCTCATTTGATTTTGTTGTCTCTTGCTTTCCATTAAGATAAAGATTGAAAAACAAATGATGTGATTATAAAAATTTACAAATACAAAAAAATAAAAATGAAAAAAAAGGAATGCGTAATAATGAATAAAAGGGAGAACGATAATACGCATATAAGAAGATTGACGTCTCAATAGACAATATATGTGCATAAAAGATTCCTTGTGACTAGGTCATGAAGATGACTCATTCAAGAAATATGGATTCATAATTTGTTCAGATTTTTTCATCAACGTATTGCATACTTTTAAGATACCAGTTTAATTGAAATAATGCATCTTTATATAAATTTGTATCATTGTATCATTGTATCAGAAGAAGTAACGTTCATCGAAGGTCGATTTACTTAGTCCTAGACTGATACAATAGATATATAGCTATGTATCGAAAACGCCGAAAAAAAATGTCGATAAAAAAAAATCGGAGAGAAAAAATATCGAACCAATGAATAATAATACTTGATGAATAGAGAGGGTGAGGATGAGAGTATTTTGGTTAATAACGACATCTCAAAAGCTTCGACGTTTTACATGTTCGATATTTTTTTTTCGATGTTTTCATAGTAAATCTCTTTGAAACTTCGTAGTTGTTTAGTGCTATGCGTATGCAATAATCTGCCAAAGTTTCAAAGAATATACTTTAGTTAGACACAAGAAAGATGCTTTTGAAAATTATTTCGGAACTTCTGAAAAACTCTTTATCGTTATACTTTATTATAACGGTGTGTTTCTCGAATTGTATGAGAAAGAAAAATAGATTGGTAACATAAAGCCTTTTTTAGTAGTACTAAAAATTATTTTGCAAAATAAAAATATGTCACATCAAGGTCAAAGGGAAAAATGATATTGAATAGAATATCTTATTCCTTGTTATACTCATCGTTGTAGGTACAATTATATGTTGTTCTCTCAAGAAATACTTGTACTTATGATTATTATTCAACAACCAAAATCAAGATTATATGTATTTTTTGTTTGATGTCACCATTTAAAATCTATTTTCAAGTTGAACTAACGAATAATCAAACTCATAAAATTTATTTCTTTTATCGTATTCACAATATGCCTTTATAGATAATGCATATTAGTTTTATCCTATACATGTGACATTTGAATATTTTATAATATTAGAGACACAGAGTGTATTCCGATGAGAACATACAAATATATGATTGCATTAATTTCTAAGGGTGTGGGTGTGGGGTGGGCAGTAGCTTCTCCTCGTACATCCACATCCATACTCTACAAACCAGATATATTTCACATGAATGAATATGATATGATCATACGCCAATTTTAAATAAAAATACAATTTAATATTTATATAATGTTATTCTTACAAAGTTAAAATGAATATATTTAAGAAATATGAAGAAATGTCTAAAATATATAGTAATATTCATAGTGTAATTGATACGTTTTTTGTTAATAATGGTATGTACTCGATTATATTTACTTTCGAATAGGAGTCAATGATTGCAGAGTTAATACAAATGATTGATCGAATATATTATATTCTACTCTCTTTTTTTAGAAATAAGAATAAGTAGACGATGTGGGCATGTTATAACCTTTAAATGTATTGATACTACATAATAATCGGACACACCTGCTTTCTTCTATATGATCACAGTAAAAAAGTCATTTGTTTAATCTAAGAAAGAAAAAAAAAAGTACTATTTACTTTTCTATTTCTCTTAAGAAAATAGAAATATACAAGAACATATATTTTACTTAAAATTTCACTGTACAATAGTCTTTTGATCGGATAAGAATGAGTTATAATTCATCATTAATATATTTTTAATGATAAATATCTAATTAGTTTATTATTACTATTAAGTATTCGATTATTTCTATTTTAAAGGATTTAGTGTTGGAAAAATTGTTTGGACTAAATATAATTATGATGGTATGTATTGGCCTGGAAGAATAACATCTAAACCAAATAATTTACAATATCAATCATGGTCATATTTTGTTCAATTTTCTGGATGCCACCAAACAAATCGGACAATGGATGATTTATCATACAAATAATATCGAGATTATATGTCAAAAAATTTACTTATTCACAAATAAAATATCATTTTCTAAATGCTATACATCAACCTGATGCCAATGAAAATTCTAATCATAATGAAATAGACAATTCTACTGCGTTCTATTCATTGAAAATGAATCTCAATGACAACTATATGGCACACGGGTCGAGACTCGTCTGAAAAATGCGATGCGAAGCTCGATATAGAAGTTAACGATGACTTCAAAGTTTTCAGATATTTCTGAATATTCACGATTGTTTTAGGATCGAGTGAAATTTACGTATTGTCACAATACAGGGAACATTAATTCAACAGATGAGTTCATCTGATTTAAGAATTTAAACTAACATAAGTTGAAAGAATACTGATCATTCATTGTTTAATAGTTTATCAAGGATGCAAAATATGTCTTATGTTTTTATCAAGCTTGGAAAAATCACAATTCTTGTATATTATGACGTTTATAAATTCTGAAAACAGGCTTGTACCGATCGTGACAGTATTCCATTTTAAACATAATTAGTTTTTATACTTTTTAACGCTATATCCTCAAAAATTGGTTGCAAAAACAAAACGCTCAGTATAACTAGAACCAAATCGAATAGAGTTCTATTACACATAATCAATACTCATACCATAAGTCCAATAAGTAGAAACAGTTCAACTAGGGTACTCTCACTCCAGTTCTACACTGACACAGATGACTACATATACTAAAAGCAATTACTTGAAAAAATACTTTTTCTTAAAGAATTTTTTCTGAATTATTTGCTTATTTTTATTTCTTTCTGATTGTTCGTATCTATAGTCATAATCATAATGAAAGATTTTGATATTTCTAATAGAACAAAAACTGCAATATTTTTATTTATAATGTTGCTACATCTAAAATAAAGAAACATATTTTTTTAAAACAGCTATTGTATAAAATAAATATTTCAGACAAATTTGTCCAACAACAGACCAAATTATAATAAAACTCGTCATTTATGAAAGTGATGATCTAATTTTTTCCGTCGATTCACACGTCTAACTCTATTTCAAGAGAACAAATTCCGTACCATCTTATAAAATATATATATTTGATTTTACGATCAAATGATAATATAGTTTGAATAAAAATAAATAAAAAATAAATTAATTTAAACTTTGCTGACTATTACCGAGAATACAATATTCATATCTATTATATATCATTTTATATCGATATAACAATCGTAACAAAAACTTTGTGTACAGTTGTTATAGTAATTCTGCCATTCTGCAGTTGACGACATTGTTTTTGGTTTTTCTTTCAACAAGTAATTGCAACATCATGTGAAACCGATGACAAAACAAACACCTACTCATTTAATCGGAGGAAAAAATAATAACACATCATATAAATCTACGCAGCACGCATTTCATAAACAGTCAAGGATGGCAAACCAAACTGTTGCTAGCTTTCATACGTTACCGGTAGAACTTGTCTACCGAATCCTGGATTGTGAATCGGATTTCACACTTATATGTTCAATGAAAAACATATGTGAACGATTCAATACGATCTTAGACAGCTACGATCGATACCAGGTAAATTTTTTTCTATTACGATTGTTTAGTTTTCATCTATTGACTCCAATAAAATATACACGAATAAATTATTTCTAACTCAAAATAATTCATTAGTGATATGATGACAATATGAACATAGTGTTCTTATAACCAAAAGAAAATAAATTCCTTTTTTCCTTTCATTTCAATTTCATTTAAATATTTCACGTTTCAAACTAGGTATGATGTCATAAACATACAATGTTTACATAAGAACGAAAAAAAAGGAAAAAAACATTATTATTTGCTTTTTGCGTGTATCAAAGCACCTTTTCCTTTAAATACCATTTCGATAATTAAGATCTGCTTTTGAAAGAAATTAACGGTCGATTAGACAGTTTATCCTGTTATAGATAACGTCTTCCATATTTCTTCGTGAAATATCTCCGACAAACACTTTTTTTGAGAACATGAGTGACTACCGATGCAGATAATGGATGTGGGTGTCAGTGGAGACAAGATTGACTCACAGTGATATTCACATTCTTGTTCAGTCATATCAATCCTACCCATTTTATCAAGGTAGAATTTTTTCTTGAAAGAATACGACTTCTAAAGCAAATATCTTTCCAAAATCATTCCTGCGTAACGGATTTCATCTCAAACACACTTTCTTAAGCACGAAATTTCGAGAATAATTCGTCAGGATTATTGTTTACACAATGCTTCACCTTGCATTCGTCTTCCACTCATAATGAATCTAACATTATGGAGCAAATTGTGTAACTTTTCCCTTTTTATAAATTAGTGTTGCTTCATGAATACAACTCTGTGCTAGCATCGACCGAAATTATCAAAATCAGTATATATTCTCACTTAAATGAATCATACGGATCAATAAGATTCAGTTCGATACTCACACGGAGTTCAGATGCAAAAACATATAACGATTCTGAATCATAAACATGAACAAAAATTGTCTACTAACTACTGACAAGAAACTATGTTTTGTGATACCTACAGAACACTAACAAACACTTCATCATACTTTACTACGTTCTAAATCATTCACTGCAATACATTCCCATTTGGGCTTATAATAATACGCTTCACAATTCTTTCGCGTCCAAGTCCTTTATAAACTATTTTCAATTAGCTAAAAATTTTTCCTACTTTGAGAAACATTCACAAAGTGCACTAACTCATATATCAAAACATTCTGTCCCAAATTCACTCTTGTTAACATAGTTTTAGTCGAGATTTTTACTAATCATCATCATACACTGTGTAGCATCTAACATTTTATGAATATTCACATTGGTATCCATAGCGTCTATAATTGGGAAAGAGCAACATTTATTTTACTACTCTAACCACATAAAACAGCGTCTAACTATTCTTTCTCTCCATCTGTACTGTCCCTTTCCCTCTACTTTTCTATTTAGAAACTCACCATGCTGAATCTCTTGCAAAATAACATCGGACATAAAGCTGCACGACGTTTGGCCCGTGCATTAAAACACAACACAGTAGTTCTCATTCTCTCTGTATCTACACCTTGTCCCTACTTTTACTTTTCAACTAGACACTGATCACACTGTATCTGACACAAAATGAAATCCGAGATAAAGGTACATGATATTTGGCCCATGCATTACAATACAACAAAGTAACTCTCATTCTCTCTTTCTCTATAATAGTCTTCACTTCTACTTATTCACATAGACACTCACCAAGCTGGGCCTCTCAGGCAATGAAATCGGAGATAAAGGTGCACGATGTTTGGCTCATGCATTAGAACACAATACAGTAATTCTCATTCTCTCTTTATCTACACCTTGTCTCTACCTTTACTGTTTCAACTAGACACTAATCACATTGCAACTAATGTACAATAAAATCGAAGCTGTTGGGGCGCAATATATCTGCCATGCATTACAACACAACAAAGTAACTCTCATTCTCTCTTTCTCTATACCACATCTTTACCTCTACTGCTTCATCTAGACACTTGAGACGCTAGATCTCTCGAGCAATAAAATCGGAGATGTTGGAGCACAATCTTTAAGTGATGCATTAGAACACAACACAGTAACTTCCATTCTCTCTTTATCTATACCATGTCTTGACCGCTACTACTTCATCTAGACACTCATTACACTAAGTATAGCAGACAATGAAATTGGAGATGTTGGAGCACAATCCTTGGGTAACGCATTAGAACATAACGCAGTAACTTACATTTTCTCTTTACCTTTACCCTATCTCTATCGATACTACTTCATCTAGACACTCATCACACTAGATCTTCGATATAATCAAATCGGAGTTGTTGGAGCACGATGTTTAGGTGATGCATTACAACACAACAAAGTAAGTCACAATCTCTTTATCTATACCATGTCTTTACCTCTACTATTTCATCTAGACACTTACCACACTAGATCTCTGGCACAATCAAATCGGAGATATTGGAGCACAATCATTGGGTAACGCATTAGAACATAACACAGTAACTCTCATTCTCTCTTTATCTACACCTTGTCTCTACCTCTACTGCTTTATCTAGACACTCATCACACTAAATATTCAGAGCAATCAAATCGGAGATGTTGGAACACAATTCTTGGGTAGCGCATTAGAGTACAATACAGTAACTCTCATTCTCTCTTTATTTGTATCATGGCTTCACCTCTACTACTTCATCTAGACACTCATCACACTAAATCTTGAATATAATCGAATTGAAGATGTTGGAGCACAATCTTTAAGTGATGCATTACAAAAAAATACAGTAACTATCATTATCTCTTTATTTATACCATGTCTTTGGCTTCACTATTTCATCTAGTCACTCACTACACTAGGTCTCCCGATGAATCAGATCGGTCATGCTGGAGCACAATCCTTGGGTAATGCATTACAACACAACACAGTAACTCTCATTCTCTCTTTATCTTTACCCTGTCTTTACCTCGACTTCTTTCTCTAGACACTCGTCACACTAGAACTCTGGAGCAATAAAATCGGAGATGTTGGAGCACAATATTTAGGCAATGGATTACAACACAACACAGTAACTTACATTCTCTCTCTATCTATAACATGTCTTGACCTTTACTCTTTCATTTAGACACTCACGAAGCTATCTCTCTCGAGCAATGAAATTGGAGATGTCGGAGCACAATCATTGGGTAACGCATTACAACATAACACAGTAACTCTTATTCTCTCTTTATCTACACCTTGTCTCTATCGATACTACTTCATCTAGACACTCATCACACTATATATTGGGGGGAATCAAATTGAAGATGCTGGAGCACAGTCGTTGGGTAACGCATTAAAACATAACACAGTAACTCGCATTCTCTCTTTATCTATACCACGTGTTTACCTCTACTGTTTCATACAGACACTTACGACACTAGATCTCTCGAGCAATCAAATCGGAGATGTTGGAGCACAATCTCTAGGTAATGGATTACAACACAACACAGTAATTATAATTCTCTCTTTATCTATACCATGTCTTGACCTCTACTACTTCATCTAGACACTCACCACACTGGATCTTCAATATAATCAAATCGGAGTAGTTGGAGCACGATTTTTAGCTGATGGATTACAACACAACAAAGTAACTCACAATCTCTCTTTATCTATACTATGTCCTTACCTCCACTACTTCATCTAGAGCCTCACCACACTAGATCTTGAACATAATCAAATCGGAGATGGTGGAGCACAACATTTGGGCCATGCATTACAATACAACACAGTAACTCTCATGCTCTCTTTATCTATACCGTATCTTTACCTCTATTGCCTCACCTAGACACTCACCACACTAAATCTTGAATGGAATGAAATCGGCGATGTTGGGTTGCAATGCTTGGTCGATGGATTACGACACAACACAGTAATTCTCATTCTCTTTATATCTCTAGAACATCTTTGCCTCCATTTTTCTATCTAGACACTTACCGAACTACACGCCATGAATACTTTGGATGAGTGCGATGCACTGAATACGATCTATGAATTACTTGAACGAAATGGAACAGGAAGAAAAGCGTGAATCGTAGTATTAAATGTATTTTGATGGGGAATAAACTGCTGATAATGATCATGGAAGTATTTTTTTCTGCTTTAATTTTCGGAGAAATAATAAAAAAACTACTTAGTTTCAAATTCAATCGATATTGTGGTGAAAACGTTTTGTTTTTTGGCGAGGGAGATGATGCTGTTCTTAAAAAATCGAACTTTTGCTGAAGAAATGGGCGAGGGTGTATCGCATGCAAAACTAAGCTGAGATTTTTTGTAGCAATATTAAAACTTTAAAAGGATCTTTTCTGGAAGGCTGAGCCAGAGAAGGTTTTATATGATAGTATCAAAACTCGGAAATATGATTTAGGATTACGAAGAACGATCAAAGGTTTCCTGTGATAATAGTAAAACTCTGAGACATTCTTTCTAGTATTACAAAAACGAAGAGTCGTGCCTGATCTTATTGAACCAGAAATAGTGTCTTCATTTACAGTGAACCGTAAAATATGCAGTAAAAATTAGTGCTGAATTCAGAATGATTCTGTGTTTAATACTGTTGAATCAAGTGTAACGGTTTTAGTTTCGTGGACTTCCTCGAGGCTTTGTAGTTGAATAGCTGAATCATCAAGAATTTATCAAGAGATAAAAAAAGTACAGTATGAACTATTTTGTAACTATGAAAATTCTGTTATCGAAGTGGCTTTGGGCTCGTTCAATAGTACTATCACATTTAGTAATATTATTTTTTTACTTAGTTTAATGTAGAGTAACATGTATTGAAAATGGTTTTTCGGTAGTATCAAATGAAATCGTATGGTGTTGTTGAAGTAACCTTGTAGCATACTGATGAAAGAAAAGCAGATAATTCGTTTGCTGTACATGGAATGATCATGTGAAGAATTGTTGAAATGAAAATGAAAATAAATAGATTAGCAAGGAAGTATCGTCTATGGCATAGAGACAAAGCGATTATATAAAATTGCATTGTGTTGAATGTCACATTGAGTTCTAATATCATAATGAATTGGAAAAACCAGTAGTTCAGGTTTCTACACTTCATATACATGTTATGTAATAAAACTGATGAAAACATATTGTGAACGTGATTATATAATATCATACATTATATCTATATTTGACATAGATATGTGAATATTATTACATAAAATACGTATTTATTGATACATGATATAGTTAAGACTGAATGTATCGATAGCATTTTGGAAAAAAGAAGTCGTATATATTTTCACTGAATTAATGACGATTTTCTATTAATACATCCGAGATAATCATAGTCCATTGTCAATATCAGCTAGATGCATGAAGAATAGATTATGATTTGTTAGTTAATTGAAATGATTATATTGTCAAAACAAGTTATAATGAATACACTTCTATAATGTTCTGAACTATGTTCGAAGAAAATCCATGAAAGAGTAAATATTATAATGTGCTTCTGTTTATTTCAGAATACCCTCAAGGAGAGTACAATATTATGCATTATGAATTGTAGATACACTTTACCTTATGAGAAAATTTCAAATGTTTTCAAATTATTATCATTTATTGTTGAATGATTTACAGAAAATATTTGAATGTTTATAAAAGAGCGCTTCAGTTCAATTTTCATTGAAAATGCCGTTGGAACCATTGATAAAATAGCAGTATTTTTTCAAAGATGTTTAAAAAACAATTGTATTTCATAGAAAATGAATGTAGTTTCAATACATTGAGTAAAATAATCTGAACAATATCGAAAGTATGATAATCAATTAAAACAAAACTAAAGAGTAGATATGTTGACTTTGATTACGAAGCGCCTTTCTATTCATCATTAGTATAATGACACAATCATCAGATAGTTCAAATAAATCATATCTACAAAGAGAAATATCAAGTCAACAAAATCTTTCATATTTAACTACAGTTGATTATCTTCTTGTTCGACAAATATTTGATACAGAACAATTAGTTCAAACTCTTGTTGGAATTACTGCACGAGTTAAATTTGGAATTTTTAATAATTTAAATCAACAGATTTGTTTTGCTTATGAAGGTAATTTGAAAAGATTTTTTTATTAGTCTTCTAATTTTATAATTAAGAATCTAATTGTTTTGAACGTTTCTGTTGTGGATCAAATCGTAGTTTTATTATACATATTGTCAATAACTCTAATCAGGTTTCAAAACAAAGGAAAATTATTTATTATTTTTTGTAATAAAAAATAGGAAATTATTCGAATTGAACGAAATCGAAAATTTTGTACAGGAATTTGTTTTTGTTTTGCAAATTCTTGTGATTGTTGTACTGAAGAAGCTTTTGTTGAATCACCACCTGGAACTTATATTGGTAAAATTCGACAAAAGTTTGTAACAATATATTCAATAATTAATCATCAGATATATCTTTTCAAGAGCAAGTTGTTGTCGTACTCGATTTAATTTAATCAACGAATCAAATGAAAAAATATTATCCATATCAAGTGATTATTGTATTTGTAATGGTCCTTGTTATTGTTGTTGTGAAAATAAATTTACAGTATAAATGAATGAATAAAAAAAAAAACCAAAAATTAATTTTTATATTTATTAATATAGATCATTGGATATGATGATCATACAGAAATTGGAGCAATTCATAAAAAATATGGTGAATTATACATAACATAAATTTCGCAAAAAAAAATATTATAAATATTTATTTTAGCTGGATTTATTCATGAAGCTTTTACAGATGTGGAATTGTTTACTATTACATGTAAATATATACACATATGTGTAGTAAAGTTAAAATGCCAATTATTATGATTTATAGTTTTTCTCATTCTTATCTTATTTTGTATGTTTTTAGTTCCAAAAGATCTTGATACGCGTCTGAAAGCTATTGGTTTAGCTGCACTTTTTCTTATCGTAAGAATGCATTTTATTAATTTCAAGGTCTTTTTTATCGTTTTCTTATTTTTTAAGAATATAATGCATTTCACACAACAAAATCGCTAATAAACGAAATGATTCTTATTTCTGACGTAGACAGTTGAAATCAAATTATGTAATAATAATAGATGATTTTCATGTTAATTTGTTGACCTGTTTTTTTGTTTTCGATGATATTATATATAGACAATCATATGTCCTAAGATGACGTCAATAAAAGGTGATAAAGCAAAAAAATACGAACTAATCAATCATTAGAGACGAGACTTTTACGACGAAAGAATTATTGTTGCACTGTTATTAGTCATACTATTTTCAAAAAATATAAACATTCATCAGTGAATTGATATTAAAGTAAAAAAGAACGATATTTCAATCTAGAACATGAGTCATCGTTAGAATATTTAACCAAATAAAAAGAAAAGAACAGAACAGAAGAAATATTTTTATATATATATAATACGACATATCGAGTCTGCACTACGTTTTCTTTTTTTTTTGACTCATTCTTGACACAACACACACTCAAAACAAACGCATTATTATAGTGAAAGTTCTTTTTTTCCTTTGATTGTACAGTCATCACGATAGTAGTAGTATTTAAACTGAATACAGACACTATTTTTATATCTTAAACTTGAATTTTATAACGAAATGACGAATATATAGATATATATATAAACGACTATATAGACGCTTATGAATAATACTTTTTGTTTTTCTTTCTATTCTATATATCTGTATTCTAGATCATTATATTTCTTTATATTTATTCGTTGTTCATGGCTTCATGTGCAGTTGAAATCACAGGATTAACAACAAACTATTGTCAGACAACAAATTCAATGAAACAATCATCTTCTTTTGAAACAATAAATCCACGATGTCAATTCAGTTTTCATGCTGATCCTTGCATCATGGATCGAACAGCAATATTACAAAATCATGAATTAACAAAGAAAAGACAATTCAATCGAAGTCATACATATTCAGGTACGAATGAATTTCCAACTATAATTACAGACAACAACAGCTGTTCGTCACAAGCTGTTCCAATAAATAATCATGAAAGTATGAAATAAATATATTCATTTGATTTTTGAATTAAATTATATCTTTCTAGGTCTAGTCACATCAATTCGACCAAAAACATTATTTCCAAATGAGTCGATAAACAATCTATCTGTACCACGTTATCGAACATGTCTAAGTCATCCATCGACAATATCTGACTCATTTCTCTCTAATGACGATAATACCTTATCACCTCCTAGTTTTACTTCATTACCTATACTTGAGTCTCCTCCAGCTAAACGTCTTCGACCACAAACATTGAACTTTAAATCAACAAATCAATCTGTTCCTATTATAGCGATAATAAATTCTTCATCATCGTCATCCACTAATTTTATTGAATCCAGCGAATTAGTTAACAAATTAAATGAAAACAATGCAATAGTCATCTTTGATTGTGGTTCACCATTTCGTTATAATGAAAATCATATAATTCGATCCAATCTTCTTCATGTTTCTGATAAAGTTTCTCGTAGACGTTTTAAAACTAATCCAACAAAAAATTTAACAATTGATCTGGAACAATTAAATAATTGTGATTCTATTATTTTATATGATGATAATATTAATAATGATCAACAATTATCAGCAGGAATCAAATGTGCATGTGAAATAATTCAACGTTCTCTTACAATCAAATATCCTTCAATATTTATACTTAAAAATTCTTTTGAAGAATTTGCAAAACTTTATCCAAATCTATGTGAATCTTCACAAACATCATTATTTACACCAAATGATCTACCATCATCATCGTCATCATCAACTCCTAGTTTAGATCCTTTAAATTATCCAATGACACATATTATCGATGGTTTATTTATTGGTAGTGAATCTAATGCTAAAAATTTAGAAGAATTAACTTCAGAAAATATTCGACATATTATTAATGTAACATCTCATGTGCCCTTATATCATTCAGAACAATGCCATTATTATCATATACCAGCTGATGATACACAAAAACAAAATTTATTAGATTATTTCGATGATGCTTATAGATTTATACAAAATGCAATAGAAAATAATGAAAAAGTACTTGTTCATTGTGTGGCTGGAATAAGTCGATCACCAGCTATAGTTATTAGTTTTTTAATGCGTTATGCACATATGACAATGAATGATGCTTATGAATTTGTCAAAGAAAAACGTTCCATTGTTTCACCAAATCTTAATTTCATGGGACAATTACTTCAATATGAAAAAAAATTAAGAGACCAAAACGAAATACTTTCGAACAAAAATTAGTTGTTGTTTTTTTAAACGTTATGCTTTTTATTGTATATTTTCTTTTTTGTTAAATTATTGTTTACTTTTTTGTTCATTGAAATTCAGCACAAAAAAACTAGATAATTTTAAAATGTAGGTGACGATGATTTATTCACGAAAAAAAAACCCATTACTTATGATTAGTAGGAAATTGTCTATTAGTAATCTGACACGTAATAACAGTTACTCATCGTATAGTGACTGATGTAAAACATTTGACACTACAATACAAATGATTTCAATTGCGTTCTTACAATATATAATGTAATGAGAAAAAGCTTCCGCAACATCAGCTGCATGTTACGCAATAGATGAGTAATATGACTTTTAATTGGTAGGGTCATATTACTAAAGGTGCAACAGTCGGAAGTAAAATATATTGAATGTAAATAACGAACTTAGCAGAATTTATAATTTAAAAAATTATTTATAATCTATATATATGAAGATATAAATAGATACTTTTTAGACATCCATAATAAGTAATAATGTATAGAATGATAAAAATAGATACATTATATAATTTCATAGGAGTAAATTAATCTATATTTTATTAATGTATTTTATTATAACTTGAAGTAATCCATGAAAATAATCTTATAAATAGTCATTTCCTCCTTCGATATAGTTTTAATAATTATTGAAATATTTATTCTAGTCTGTTGAAGTTTTGTCCTAATATTAAATATTTGTTAGGTTGACATATATATCTTGTATTTTGAATTCATAGTCATATTTATATATAAAATAAAACACAATAATTTATATCAATATTTAACTGTGAAAATATAAGGTCTCTTATTTATAAGTTTAGTCTAATATCGACAAAAAGTCTCACAGTTTTTTGTTAATGTGAAAATACTATACAAAAAAAAAAACAAAGAACAACAATAAATTGTTTTTTTCATCTAGTCTCATTTCTTAATACTACCACTTGACCTGCATGTGTAATATTTACAGCAACAGATTCTGGTAAATAAAATGGTTCACCATCCATTTGTGCTGTCATAGGACAACATATTTCAATACGTACTTGACTACATTGTGCAATACGCATACCACGAAAACCAATATGAATCGTAGCCATATGTGTTGTACTTAAACCTACAACTTCAATTTTTTTATCACCAAAATCTTGTCGTTCAAAACGGCCAGTTGAATTATTAACTGTTGTTATTATTGATGAATTCATTTGATCAGTTGAACATTCATTTAATGTTATTAATTCATAAACTTCATGTGTATTTGCTGGTAAATCAAGTATATCAATAGAACTTGTTGAAATTTGTTCAAATGAATCAGAATCTTTTTGTATGGTTATTGGTGGTGATGACGAGGAATTATTTGATGATTTACCCCATGGATTTGTACCTGATGCATAACCCGATATATTTAAAACAAGTAATGTATGACAATTTTTAATTGAATCAGTTAAATTTTCTCCATCACATATTAAACGTATATATGAACTTAAATTCCACATTTTTGAACGTGCAAAATCATTTAAATATTTTCGACTTTCATTTAAATACATTAATTTATTTTTTAATGGTGAAGAAAATTTTGCTGGATCACGTGAACGTCTATCATGAAATTCTAATGCTATAGCTGCATCTAAACCAAAACTCATATAATTTATAAAACGTGTATTTGGTAATGTACGATGATTTTGATAGGATGCACGTTTTGTATCACGAATAAATTTTGGATGAGTAAAAAACGATAAAAATGATCGTCCAGTATTAAGATTTATACTTGAATTTGTTAAATCCATTGGTTCAATTGTAACTTGCCAACGATCAAGTGCTATGGGTTGTGCATATGGTATTTGTGCTAGAGTTGGTAATAAACGTTTCGGATCATATTGTTCACCCCATGATAATACACGTGATAAATCATTACCGGTACCTAATGGACATATACAAACAGGTGGATTATTTAATGATGGATAAATTTCAGCTAAACGACCTAATACCCAACCAACAGTACCATCACCACCAAATACACATATGCGAATATTTGGCAGTTGTGAATATATTTCTAAGGCATTAATTATAGTTTGATCATTTTCAAGTAAAAATACTTGACGAGGATTTAATAGACGTAATAATTTACGATAGATTTTTTCACCACTTTGACCACCAGAACGTTTATTTATAAATAGAAGTAAGGGTGTATAACCAGTATCATGTTCATTATAAGAAGGATTCTGAGCACGAAAAAGTAATGGATAATTAGGTGAACGATGTATCCATTGTGGTCGAACAATTATATTTCTAAAAGAAAACGGAATATTTCAAAAGAATGAAATAATATATTTTTTTATAATCATACCTAAATATTCCATAGTCACATTTATGTTTATCATCATGATTAAATATTTGTTCCCAACAACGTCTATGATAACCACGTGAACACCATAAACATTGAAGGCCATTTGTTGTTCTAGATAGCTTTGGACTGTCTGGTATTGGACTTTTATTATAACCGAAACCTCTCGATGCTATATCAAATGTTGGCATTGTTGATGGTCGAGTATTTCCACTAAACATAACATTTGATATAGATTTTCGTTTACAAAAAGCACATGGTTTAGTAAGTATCGATACAGGAGACCAATAATGTCGATCAACTTTATTTTGTTCGTCGTCATCAAAAAATGATGGACGACATAATGGCATAAAATTTGTTTTACTTGCTGCTGCCGCTGTTGTTGTTGTTGATGTTCGTAAATTTAATAGATGATGATTATGTACAACAATGAAACATGATTCACATTGAACGAGTGATAAAATAAGTGTTGGTTTAGGATTTTTACAAGAAAAAAAACGCACATGCTGGCGATGATGCAGGGTCATTTTGATGATATGGAAACCAACAATGTGACGTAGAAGATGCTCGATCTGTCCAATCAACACCATATAAAATTGGAATGTTTGATTCTGATGGTGATGAAGATGATGAAGATGATATCGATTGTAAAGTACTATTAAAAAACAACCAGAAGATAATTTATTCAAAATGATCTTTTGTGATTTGAATATACACTTGTAAATTAGTAAGTTCATTCATATTTTATGTATTTTTTTTTTTGGTTGTCCTCATAATAAATATTGCTTTTACATTAGAAATTCCATATTATTAATTGATCTGTCAATTTATTCTTCTCATCATAACAACTGTACGTTAGTTTATTTCTAGAAGTTGACAATCAATTTTCTTTCTATTTACTTCAAATACATATACATCATCAATCTGTCCAAAATAAGACAAGTAAATAGCTTGTCAGACAAATATTTTTTGCTATGTGCATTGATTATTATTATTATCATTATTATTATTATTATATATTCTTTCTTTCTTTTTTTTTATTGAAAATATCAATAATAAGAAAATATTTTTCATACCTTTTTGAATTTGAGATTGATTCAGTTGTCATTTGTCCAGGCATATTTACCACATAATCTCTTGGAGATGGTAAACGAAAATGTGGTAACTCATCATCATCATCATCATCATTATCGTCGTCATTATCATCCTCGTCATCATCAAAATCATTTTTAATTGTTTGAGTTAATGATAATGGTTGATATCGAGGATGAAATTTTGTAGATAAATGTTCAATAGGTGTTGATGGCAATGATATTGATGGCGTTCTATCTAATTTTTTATTATATAATTCCAAATTATATTTAGTAGGATTAATATCTAATCGACGTAGATCACGTTCAAGTATTCGATGATTATTTTCACATCTATTTACTAAAGTATCACAATCACGTGGTTGACTAATTAAATCAAAACTTGAATGAGCATTTATATTTCCACATGTTGATATTGTTGTTGATGATGATACAGTTGTATTAATACATGATGTATATTCAAGAAGTTTATGTGGTGAACGAGATATTGATGGTGATGTTGATTCAGCCATTCTTTCAATAAAGAAAGAAACAGACTAAAATATTTGTGGAATACATACGAATATTTTTGTTTGATTATATAAGAAAAAAAAAAAAAAAAAGAAAGAAGAAAAACAAAACGATAAAAATTTATCGGAAACTATGTTATCGTCACCCGCTTCCCTTTCTTTTATGTCTTTCGCCAGTTTGTACGACTAGTATTCTACTCGTCAACAGTATGAACATCTTCATTGAATATGACAGTTATTTTTTTTTCTCTCTCTCTCTCTGTCGCTTATTTCTTCTTTATTACGGCGTGATGTCTGCTATGTCACCAACATAGTTTATGTCGATGTTGACGATCGATGAAGATGATGATATGGAAGACTGCCACATTTGTTTTTGACAAGAGAGACAATAATAACATTGTCGTTATTGTCTCAATCGTATTTCCACTCCTACTGTGTGTGTGTGTGTGTTATATGCATATTAGGCACGCAAACGAGATAAATCAATGAAAAACTATTGTCGTTTCTGTTTTTACAATGAATTCATTTGATCAATTTATCAGATTGTCGAACTAAATATGTAAAAAAGCTTAATATTTTCTTTTTTTCTATTATTTTCTAATTAAAATTAGTTTTCTAATTTAATTATTGTTTTACTAATTAACTTCAGCTTACCTGTTTATTAAATTTTCGTGTTTAGTAATATAAATTTACACATAAACATTGTTATATGAACTGTAACAATATATTCGTATAAACGAGTATGAATAAAAGCCAGAAGTTTGTTGTTATTTTTTTGACAGACACAACAGCACACATACACACCACATAGGCAAAGCAGAGAAGGAAAAAAAAAAGGAGACCTATGTTATCAGACGAAGCCTATGGAATTTTTTTCTTCTTTTTTTTTTTTACTCGTTTCTTTTTCTCCTGCGATGCTGTCGACAGCAAGAACCCATATTGTGTATTTATCGACATGCATTAGAAGAAAAAAAGAAAGAAAGTAAAGGTGCATGAATGTCAATGGAAGTTGAAAGTGACAATACACGCAAGTGAAAAAATTCATGGTTTTTCTTTTTTTTCTTTACGTGTTTTTTCATATATTGTATTAGTGTCATTTGGATTAAATAAGACAACGAAAACAAAAAAAAAAGAAAATTTCATCTGACAAATTGCCTACGCAGTTGATTTCAGCTATCGTGTTGTGCTTTTTTAATGACACATAAGTGCATTTGAAGAAATGAAAATATTACTCAAGTTCTCCAAGAAGACTTATTAGTCATCTAGGAAAATTAGTTTATTACATTTTCTTTATTATAATAATAACACAAAAAAAAAATAGAAGTAGATTTTTTTTATAAAATCATGAAGTTGTTGCGTGTTGTGACATTTTTCTTAACATCATTGCTTCAAAATCTTCAAAGTCAGGTTTCGTTAAATCAACAAGATCATCTTGTTTAGTAACTGTTGGATTAGTTTGTTTTTGAAGTTTAACTGAAGCAAAATGTCGTCCACCGGAACCTTTTTCATTCTCAATAATTTTTGATATATGTTCATCATTAAATTCAATTAACGCCTTTTTAGGATACAGATTAACAATTGTTGAAATATTTCCATATTTTGAGAATATTTGTCTTAATTCATCATCTGTATATGGATCAGTATTTGGAAGATATTTGATAATAATATTTCGATGATTTAATAATTTTTTTTGTTTATCTTGTTCGATAATATTATGAAGATTCTCAAGTTCTTCATCCACCAAACGACTTCCTTCACGCCTTAAACGGTCAACTTCAGCACGTAATTTATCTGTGTTATATGTATTAACTGTTGATTTTGTTGCTTGTGATGCTTTTTGTTCTTTACGATCAAGATCTTCTTTAAATTTTTTTCGTTTTTCATCCATTTGTGATAAACGTTCTTCTTGAACTTTTTTTTTGTTTTCGACATGTATCATATGTTTTTCGAGCTTGTTCATCGGCTAATAATTCTAAAGCTCGTTTAATAAGTAAAAAATGTTCTTTTTTTTCTTCATCATCAGGATATTTATCTGGATGACATCTTAATGCTGTTTTTCGAAATGCAGTTGTTAATTCTTTGATTGAACATGTTTCTTCAACACCCAATAAACCATAAAGATCCAATTGACTTAAATCAGTCATATTTTTATCTGAAAGATTAAATGAGAATATAAGATTTATTTTAAGAAATGGAATGATTAAATTTATTTTCACAAAACAAAGAAAAATAAAAGAATTGTGTTTTTCTTCATCTTCTTTTTTGTTATCACTCAATGCCAAAACCTTCACAATTTTCAATAGCAAGAAATAATTTTTCTTTGAGAATTTCACGAGTTGGATAAGGTGGTAAAAGTAATTGATTAAAACTAGAAAAAGAAAGAGATTATGTTGATAAAAAGAAAAGAAAACAATAAATAATTACATACCATGTATGTGACATGGGTAACCTAGAAGAGAGAGAAAAAAAACAACGAGATGCATATTTATGTAAATGAAAAAATTCTTTTATTTGATTTTATCAATCGATGAGAAAAAAATATCTCCATATATTGTTGTCTATCTACTGAATATTCATACTAATGAAAGACAAAACAAAAACTTGAATTTTATTGACTAACAAATAAAAATTGCGAAATATATTTTGATGAAATTACGTATGTGTCTTAAATATATGTCAAAAATCCAGAAACTGAAAGCTGTCTCCGGTGGATGGGTTGAACCCATTTCAATCATAATTATTTAACTTACAGTTCATTGATATTACATCGATTTGATGAAATTTTTCCAATTTTAAATGTCATTTCACTTAAACCTCCGATTGGCATACGATCACTACCAGTTACAAATAATAATAAACGTCTTTGTTTATCCGATGACATTTCTTCAATAACTTGCCAAAACCATCTTAAAAATACAACTTAATTCAAAAGTAAATCAACTAAATATTTACTTTATAAATTGATCATTTGGATGACAATTTTCATATTTAGTTATTTTAGCTAAATTAGTTAAATTACATTGTTGCATTCCACATATTAACATTTCAAGTTCTTCTGGTAAAAGTAAGAGAAGTGCATTTGATGAACAAACACTATGAAAACCATGATAAAATGCTTCAAATTGTTTTGATATATGTTTATTAATATAAAAATCAATTAATAATTCAACATATTCAATTCGATTATCATTTGTTACATCAATATTTGATCCATTTTCTTTCAATGGATAAACCAGTGTTGTATCAAATTGTGCAACAGAAACCTTTAAAAATAATTAAACTATATTAATCTATTGAACAAATCAGCAGTGCTCAAGTTTCCTAGATAAGGAAATTTCACTGAGAATTGAGGAAAATACTAGACCTCGAAGCAAAGGATGATTAGAAATTATTGAAAATTTTCAACTACTCAGAAAATTCGACAATTCCGGAAATTTCAGGCGTACGCTTCCTCAAATCTATATCTATATTATCCTATCTTCGTAATGCTACTATACAAATTTCGGAAATTTAAACATACCTCGTCAAATACTCTGAGGAATTTTTTTCTTTTCTAAACTATTCCCATAAGATTATTTAGTACTGAATGAAACATGATTAATAAAATTTCTTCAGTCAACTTACCTCAAATGTCAGCCCAAAATCATCTGCAACATTTCCATCATAATCAAGTAAATATTGAAGACTATCAGCAATATCCTTCCAAAAGATTATTATATAAATATAATTAATTATCATTAAAATAACTTACAGGTCGAATTGTTCGAAAATCTTTTAAAGTTGATGAAATAATTCCAATTTTAATTTTCGATAAATTTCCCATATGTTCATGTATAAATGCTGGTGTTAATAGTTTTTTATAGCAAACCAGTGGAAAACGTATATCAAGTATAATTGCATTATACACTGCTAAACCCATTAATATTCCAACTAAATTATATTCACGAATATTATCAGTTGATGCACCATTAAACCAAAATACTCCTGATGATTCATACAATACAAACATTCCTAAAAGTAAACAAAAAAATTAAAATATAGCTTTGTATAATATTAATAATGAATAACCATAATCAGGTTGAAATATTTGTCGAAGTAAAAGAAGAAACCATTCTTTTGTTAATCCACCCATATCAAGACCATGTTCACCGACAAATGTCACACGTAATTTCTTCTTTAAATCTTCACGTTTTTTTGTAACCTAAATAAATAATAGAATATTTAAATATATACGAAAATAATTTTTAACATACTTCAGCAAGTGAATCAAGAACTAAATGTGATCGTCGAATGTAAAGATTTAAAAAAAGCATATTTAAATCTGGTGCTTGTTTATTTTGAAATTTTTGTATCATACTTCGCTATTAAAAAACAATATTAATATTTTTTTCGATTAAATAAATAAATTATTACCCGTGCATTAACAATCATTTGTTGTTCAGAATCTCGTTTTAATATTGTTCGTTTAGCATTAACACTCAAGACAAATGGATATTGACAAAATGTAAAACTAAATAAAAATAGATTTTTTTGAGTTTTTTTTTCTTAGATTAAAAAAAGTAAAACAATAAAAGCCACAGAATTTATATGATTCAATAACGACATTGATTAAAAAAATAGTTCTAACCCTCCTGTTATTCCACGTGATTGTCGATGTTTCCATTCAAAATAGTCACGTTCTCCATCAATATAATTCAATGCATCTATAGCCATTTCTTGCAATGGTATTATACGACCATTTATCGTTTCATTAGCACTATCTGTTTATATTACAGATACAAAATAATATATATTTAGCAAAGATTCTATTTTCTATCTTCATTTATAAATAATATCTAATTAATGCAAAATAGCATAGAAATATTCTTAACTACCCTTTTGATTTTTTTAACCAAATATTGTATTCAAAACTGATATCAATACCATCAAGTAGATCGATGATAAATTCATCATATTTCATCATTTTTCGATTTAAATGTTCGTTAGTTACATCTTTATATTTCGATTATGATTTTTTCTCTCACTTTTCAGTCTTAATAAACTTACTAAATAATGCTAATGTTCGAATACCACATGGAATCCACCAACCATTAACAAGTGTTGATGCAGAATTATCTACACGTGATGGAAATAAATTTGTAGAAATAAATGTTTGTAAACGATGAACAGTTGATCGAAACATATTAACCGGTAATCTATAAATAAAAATATATGATTTTTAATTATAAGAAGCCAAAATGAATCTTACGTTTTTAAAAGTAATACAATTTCTTGATGTTCACGATCAACAAAATGTGCAATACGACGTAATACATGTGCAAAAATATGATAATTTGATGCTTCATCAAAAACCGGTGCCTACATAATCAAATACATTAGATCAATCAATTATGTATGATATTACAATATGTATTACCAATATAAGAATAGTATAACCCTTGAGAGTATTATCACAAGCACTATAAATGAAAAACAAGAATGCAAAAACAAAATATATCAGTTGAGACAATTTTAATGCTAAATCGAAACTCTCATATCAACACTTTTACCTAAACTGTTGATAATGATTTGAAAAACAAAAACTTGAAAATATTTATCTGATAAATTTAAAAAATAAATAATTGTTTTTTTGAAATCCTTACCGAACTTCTCTAATACAACATGATGCAATTGTTTTAAGAACAAGTCGAAATAATTTATCAGAATTTTTTATTATATGATCATGAATTATCTGAAGAAATTTCCAATCTATTTGTTTAGGATTATCAGTCTAGAGAAATAAATAAATCTATGTAATGAAAAAAATCTTATTTTGTTATGAGATTTACCAATGTTAATGTTTGTATCATATAATCAAAATTCATATAGAATTTCGAGAAAAAAGCGGAGATTTGATCATGATCAGGATTTTCTTCATTAATCAAATCTCTATTAATCATACGAATGAAAAAGTTATTTTAAATCTACAAAAGTTACTTACTGAAAACTATCACAATCATAAATTTTAACTGATGGTACGATTGATGCCGTTGTTGCAGTAATTGGTAATGATGTTGATGAAGTGAACTTTTCTTGTGTATTTACAATTGCTGGCATTTTGATATTCGACATCGATTGATCACGTTCATGATCAATTGTTCTACCATTATTATTAATCATATTTTGTTTCCGTAAGATGACTCGATTAAATGTTCGACTAAAGCGTGAACGAAGACTTGAAGTATCATCACTATTATCATCTCTTGTTCTTCTCTAAATAAAAATTAGAAAAACAAAAATGAAATTTAAATTCTATTCAATATATTACATTAATATCTTGTTTTAATTGTTGAATATTTGGTAGATTTGGTCGACTAAGAAATTCCCCACAAAAGGGACATAATATTCTTGTACGTCCATTACATTGTGGATCAGATTCAATATCTAATTGACATCGATGGCAATGCGATGTAACTGATGGTATTAAAGCGGAAGAATTACGACGTAGAGCATTTGCCATCGTGAAATTTATTTTCTACAATAAATAATGACAAGTAATTTCATTTCTTAGTCATTCGTTCATCCTCTTATTGGCTAATATGAATAACCAATACTAACATTACATGGTTGACAATGATGATTGTTTTTTATATTTATCTAATTTTTCTCATTCTTATTGAGTGTGTGCATTTAAGAAGAGGAAATTTATATTTTTATATGATTATAGATGCCACAAATAATTATGATGAAAGCACAATATTTAATTCTACTTAGTTTTCTATTAACATTTATCGTTATAACAAATGCTTTTTATACAAAAAGACAATTTTATTCATCAGTTATATATCTAACAAAATCAAATACAAGTCTTGCGGTAGAAGAATTATATATGAGTTTTTTTTTCAATTAAAAATAAATTTATTTCTTAGGTTCTCTATGTTCAAGGATTTGTCTTTATTATTTTATTTGGTAAACTTTTTCAACGTATATTTCTTGGACAACTTCGAGCGATTGAAACTGAGGTTTGCTGAACTATGAAAATAGCCTTTCTCTTTTATTTATTTCTTCTTTGACAGCATCTATATGAACGTGCATGGTTTTCTATAACAGAAACATGTCTAGCATTTACTATGTTTCGTGATGATTTTAATACACGTTTTGCAATATTATTTGCAATTTTACTATTTCTAAAATGTTTTCATTGGCTATTAGAAGATCGTGTTGATTATGTAAGTGTAATATAAATGTTCTTGATAGACAAGAGAAACTATCATTCAATTTAGATGGAACAAAGTCCTGTGCTGGGCCCAATATTTCATGCAAGAACTATTGGTAAAATAAAATAGTTGATTTTTTATATCATAAAGATTTTTTGATTTGTAATTCTTAGGTCTTTGGACTGTATTATGTCTTTGTGATTATTTATTTATTCTATTAGCTTATATACATGTAATGTCAACAGGAGCATCTGTTGAAATTGTATTTGGTTTTGAGGTAAGAAAATTCAAAAGTTCACCGATGTACTAATTAAAAACTATTTTAGTATGCTATTCTACTTATTTCGGTGATTACAATTGCATTAAAATATTCAGTTCATCTCATGGAAATTCGTGCCGGTGAACAATGGGAAGGTAGAGGTGTGTATATGCTTTTTTCCGATGTAGTTCTTGGATTTTTTCGTGTTACATTATACATGATATTTATAATGGTTATGATGAAAATTCATACATTTCCATTATTTGCTATTCGACCAGCATTTTTGGCAATGAGGTAAAGTTTTCTTTGTAAAATATTCATTTATTTATTTATTAGACTTTTTAGAACATTTCGTAAAGCATGTGATGATGCAATAGAATCACGACGTGCTATACAAAATTTAAATACAATGTATCCTGATTTAACAGCTGATGAACTTGCTAATGTTGCTGATACAACATGTACCATATGTCGAGAAGAAATGCAAGTACAACAATGTATTAAACGTCTTACTTGTCAACATGTATTTCATAAAAAATGTTTACGTTTATGGTTTCAACGACAACAAAATTGTATGTTTTTGTGAAAAATAAGCTTTTCTGTCATATCATATATGCATTTTTCAGGTCCAATTTGTCGAACTACTGTTTTACGATCTACACCTCGACAAGCTGCGGGACCTCAACCACAAGCACCTGTTCCTCCAGCTGAACCTGTACCACCACCGCCACCACCAGCCACATCAACTCCAATATCTAATTCTACAACGACTCAAAACACAACTATTCCACAAATACCATTAAGTCCATTTGCTATGGTATTGCCACCTTTTGGTAAATAAAATAAAATTTAAATGAAACATATTTTCAATAAAAACTTTGTCTATTAAGCATTTCCTCCGCCACCTTTACCACCACTTGATTTTACTGGTATGTCTGAAGAAGCCATTCGAGCAATGGAACGAACAGAATTAGCTCATGTTCGAGCACGTCTACAATGTTTACAAAATGTTAGAAATTTATTAGATGCATCAATAACATCAATGCAACAATTTGTCAATATCTTACCAGTACCAACAACAAGTTCAAATAATCATGTTGATTAAATTTATTTTTATTCATGTTTATTTGTAATAATCTTTTTTTTCATTGTGAATTGTATATATAATAGAGCTTTTTATTCAATATAATAGCTCAGAAAGTTACTTTTTTTTTAAATTAATCATATAATAATGTATTAAAATAAGACTACTAATATTAACAATCAGAATTCTTTTTTCTATAGAGATCTTAACTTTTATTTTTAGAAAAAATCGAGTAAACTTGTATTTCAATAAATCAATATCCATATCATTTTTAAATGTTTAAATATCTATATAATGAGGTTTTTATGGCATTACAAATCATCTTTCTTGAACACAACATTTTCGTTTATTATTATTAGTATATTTGACAAATTAGAAAGAAAAGAAATCTGTTGAAAGATATATCAGCATCTTAGTAATGTACATATAAGAACAATTAATACTATTCTTTATTATAATTTTGTGAAATTTGAACACTAGCTTTCAGTTTCGTTGAAAGTAATTCGTATGTTTGAAATTCTCTTTTGGATGTGAATGAAACTAAATAAATTGAGAAGAAAAGCTAGAACTTGAACTAATCAATAAGTTCATATACTCACTGACAGAATATAGAAAGAACTGAATCATTCTATTATCCAGCAGTGTCCACGAATTGAGAACTGGAAATTCCTAAACTATCAAGGAACTATCGACAGAATGATGATAATTCCTTAAGGAATTGAGAACTGACCATTAATTCCCTCATAATTCGACCACTCATAATAATCAAAATGATGCATGTTCTTCGGTAGTTTTCACACCCACACATTTCCTCACCAATTTGTATATGAAAGAAAAAAAATATTGTGAATAATGTGAGTTTTTGATTGTGATGATCAAAGAACTGAGAGGAAATTGAGGAGGAATTCCTATTTCTCAGTCCTTGGACACACCTCAATGCGAAAAGAAAAAAGGAAAAGAGAAGTAATATAGATCGAAGTGATAAAGAAGAATTTATGATCACTCAAAAAGAGACACAATGGTATGTTTTTCTTACATATATTGGTGTGAGAATCTCTTCTCTAAACCACAATGACATTCACACCCACACCCAAAATCTTCCGAATATATCATCAATTTTTTCATTATTTACAACACATTTGTTATTTATTGTTTAATATCACAAGAATTTCGAATGGAAATGATTTTAATTATTTTATTTTCCATCTTTATTCAAAAAACAAACTATTATTTCGAGAGATCTTTAAACTTTTTTGACAAAAATTTCAACGTTGTTTTTCATTTTAAAAAATGTCTGAAAAATTAATTTGAAGAAAACAAAATTTTATGTTGCTTTTAATGTATTGCGTAAGTGTTTGTTAATTATTGATCTTTGCAATATACTAGAGATGATAGGTAAATATTTTAATTATTATTTTAATCAAATTTTTGTTTTGTTTTTTCAAACATATATCAAATTTTACACTAATGGACATTCTATTTGCATGTAGAATTATTTCTATATGAGTAATAAAAACAAATGGAAATGAACTTGAACTGTGAAAAGAACGTTTATATTCTTGACTTATTCGAATACTACTTGATTTAGACTTTTTTTAATTTTAATTAAACAATTTATCAAACTTTTGAACTTGAGAAAATTCTTTTTGAATCAAGAAGATTTTGTTATAATATGATATAAATTATTCGATTCTGACAAACTATATGAACTTATCAAAAGATTTGATCTTTTCTTATTGAGGGTGCATATACAGATTGAAGAAAGTCTGAAGCCACATTCATATCCATTCGCACCTATAAAAACACTGAACCCCGCTCGCCTTTCAGTTGGCTATGATCCAATCGAAAACTGCACCACGTGATGCAGAATTTAATTCTACGACCATCACAACTACCTTTAGACAGCTCATAAGTCTCGAACCTGCTGATAATTATCACTACCTAATTATACAGAAACTATCTTATTTTCTATTCTTTTTCGGTAACATATATATTCAGATAAATATAACGTAAGTTGAATGTCACTATTTTGTTTAACCCATCTGCATTTACATCATTGTTCTCATTCCGTCTTAAGTCTGATATTGCTATATATTACCCTTTAGATTATCTTGTAGAGTTGTTATTTATAAACAAATTCATCTCTGTCATTCATGAACTTACTTCGAACTGTTTTGGTAACCAAAAGTATTTCAATGATCATATATTCTACATTCAATAAATACTACTAAAACAATGAAATATTATGAAAAACAACACTGTTAAACTAAGAGAACATTTGAGAGGATAATTAAAGTTATCGTATCAATTGTAAGTTTTCTCAATCATAATAAACTAATATATAAGAGTAAAAAAACAAAGATATTTATTTTTATTTGAGATGGAATATTAAAGTGTGTGATAATCCAGGAAAATATCGAAGGCAACAGTTCGTGGACGTGATAAAATGAGAATTCTTCTAACTAACGTATTGTTTGAAATTTGAGTTACTTGTAAGAAAAAGAATAAAACTATTGAAAGTGAATTTGTGTGAACTAATTAATATAATTCTGCACTGTTTAAACCACCAGTTATATCAAATCCACCAGTAACTAATACTAGTCCATTTAACAATACAGATGCTGTGTGAGAATATCGTGCATTATTCATGTTACTAGTTGTTGTCCAAATACCTATTGATGGATCATACAATTCAGTACTATTTAAATAAACATTGTTACCAGTGTATCCACCAGTAACTAATACTTTTCCATTTGATAATACAGATGCTGTGT